TTGAGGAAACTATTAAGCTTTTTTAGTTTAATTTTCTGGAAGCTTATTATCACTTAAAATTCGATTTATCCGATTTCAATTTTGGCCAAAATTTTTTAATTCTGACTGGTACTAAAGAATTCGTCATTTTATGGTAATTGAAACCGAAACCAAATAACAAGCAAGATCCTAAATCTAACTAAGACCCGTCCTAAGAAAGATTTTAATGACAATTATTTATTTGCACAATTTTCTTGTGTAGTTATCATATATGGTGACACGATAAACATTTGAAAGGTAAGATAGAATTTTTATTGGATTTCGGAAGTCTATTCTCAAGTCTCTTCAACCATACTCTCATCAAACAAGTCGTACTTTATACGAAAAGTTTTATGTATGATAAAAACTAATATAGAATCGAAATGTAATAAAATTATTCCAGCATACATATTTAATAAGACATTCATAATTAATAAAATATTTATTTTTGAAATTTTTGAAATTTTCGATATTTCTTCGCAGTTACTGCATTAATTTTATGGCACTGATGATTGGCGATGCAAACAGGTTTGATAATTTCAATAAAATCCAACAAGTAAAACTACTAGATTATTTTAGTATTATATTATCCCATTTTTTACATACTTGTCGTGGGTTTAGAAAAAAAGTACTGGCTAGTTTTGAAAAAAAAGAATAAAATAATAAAAATATGATGATCATTGCAGGCTTGTCTATATCTACTGGCATCGTACTTATGGTCCTGTGATGATTATTATTAGAACTATTTATTATTGTGCATCATTTACCTTGCGTTGTTTTTAAAACTTTTAAGACTTTTAGGTGGGTTGCATGGCTAAGAGTGTATTATTCCGGCTTCCTAACCTTATCTGGTATGTTGGTGAATACTATTGGTGTCACAGTCGCCTTTGAACCAGAAAGAATGCCCGTAGCCGTCACATTATGTCTAACATTGATCGCCAAGCGCTCATACCGCGAAAAATTTTTATGTAAAACACTTCCTGTCGTAGAGACCCTTGGGTGTGTGTCTCTATTATTTGCTCGGTAAATATAATTTACTTTTTTTTCTATTTTTACCTTTAAACTTATTTAATTACCAATATTTTTATATACTGATGCTAGGAGAAAACTGGTACACTAACAGAGAACAAAATGTTTATTAATAACGTGAGTTTTGTCACCAAGGAGATGAAACCCCAGGAGTGTAAAGATATATTGAGAACTGGCCATCCGGAAAAAAAGGCAGTTAGAACTCTACAATTAGCTGCTGGTTTATGTAATGCTGCGATATTTGACGCTGCCTCAATGACACTCCCAGTATATGAAAGAGTTATAAATGGAGATGCTACGGATTATAGTTTACTCCGTTTCGCCGAAGATTTGAGAGGTATATTAATTAAATTGAAAAGGCAGAGAGTGAGAGAAGCATTTCCTTCAAAATTTACTACAAAATATTAACGTTAAAATTTTAAAATTTAAATAAAAGAATCAACTGCGGCTGATTGTCTCGAGTTTAAAACAATCTTTCAGGTTCCATTTAATTCTAAAATAAATATGTAATTACCATTCACTCCAGCAACGGAAATGTCGACAACGATCTAGGAACATAAGAACTTGTATATTTTTGCAAAGGTGCTCCTGAAGTTTTGTTGGAAAGATGTTCTTTTTATTTTCATCCAGATGGTAGTGAAAAGCCGCTTGATCATGAAAGTAGAAATCTATGGTTATTCAGGATTCATGGTCAAGGAAGGGTCAGCGTGTACTTTTGTTATCCAAAAGAATTATTCCATCACACATATTCCCTGGGAATACTAAAAATGATGTCGAAATGACAGATTTAGCCTTATCATTTAATAAGGATTATGTATTATTGGTTTGGTGGGAATTATCGGTGAGGATTTTTTTTTTTTTGCATAAATATAGAAATCTCTTAATTTTGAATCAAACATTAGATCCGCCTCGCGCAGTAATTCCTGAAGTTGTCAAAAAATGTCGTAAGGCAGGAGTCAGAGTTTTCATGGTTACAGGTGATTATGCTTTGACAGCGGAAACAATTGCTAGGCAGTGAGGTATTCTAACCACGGATAAAGTGGATGACATTAATAATATCATTAAAAAGGAAGACATTGGCGACACGTCTATGTTTCGTCGAAATTTAGATTCTGAAGAGGATGACTATCAATTGAATGTCAATTCACTTAGTTTAACCAGAAAAGACCTTTTCAATGCAAATTTGATTTCTAAACACTGGGACGTCATTGCAATTTATTCGGAAATAGCTTTTTCTAGAACGAAACTAGAACAAAAATTGAAAATTGTAAGTTTTTTTTCTTTTTTAAAAGTTTATATACAAACATTGTTATAACGAAGAAAATTTTAGGTAACTAAACTTCAAAGTCGAGGTAATGTCGTGGGAGTGACCGGTGATGGAGTGAACGATGCACCAGCATTAAAATAAGCGAATATTGGAATTGCTATGGGTCTGGGATTTGATTTGGCTATATCAGCAGGAAATATGGTTTTACTGGATAACAATTTGCATCAGTCGTCGTGGCTATGGAAAATGGTCAACTTGTGTTTGATAATTTGAAGTAAGTTATATTGTATCTTTTGCCAGCTGGATCTTGGTCTGAAATGTGGCCTGTTTTAGCTAATGTCTTGGTTGGAATTCCACTTCCACTATCACTTTTCCTCATGATTGTCGTTTGCTGCATGTATGTACGTGTGTGTACTTTTTACCTATAAATAAATCCAATCATACCTTTATTTAAAAAGAACCGACATATTCCCATCGCTATCCCTTACGCATGAAAAACCCGAATTGGACCTTATTTCACGAAAGCCACGCAAAGTAACTAGAGACCATCTTGTAGATGCAAAATTACTTTTGCAAGCTTATGGGTTTATTGGTATGACGGAAATGTTCTTTGCGCATTGGATGTTCTTTACGTATTTATCCTTTTATGGTGGTATATCTTTTAGGGATACAGTACTAGGTAAATTATAGTTAGAATATCATAATCTGAAAATTGGATGTTCACGTTTGCTAAATTCTTTGATCATAACTATAATGCAGCATTTAACAACTGGGGAGATGGGATTTATGGGAAAGACGATGGACGAACTTAACGAACTCAATGTATGATACGATTTCAATATGATACAATCACTCATTATCAGAAACTACATTCCTCATAAGAAAATTACCTTTGTTTTAATTAGTACACAGGTCAAAGTATAATCTTTGCAACATTGGTAATTACTCAATTTGGAAACCTCTTATCCATCCGAACACGACGCAGATCAATATTCCAATCAAATTCATTTTCAGGGCCAACGAAAAATTTATATTTATTTGGAGCAATGTTCATCTTTCTTATAACTATGTTGGTTATACTTTACGTACCCTTCTTCAATAATGTTTTTAATACAAGGTAAAATATAATTATTCTTTTCTATTTTGCATACTAGATTAAATTTTTTCTTTACTTCTCATTTGATTAATTAATCCAAACAGACCGATTCCAGTAAAATTTTATTTCATTCCTCTCGGATTTCCTGCATTTACTCTGATAATGGACGAGATAACAAAGTTGCTCATAAGAACCTATCCAAAATCATTCTTGGATAAATTAGCTTGGTGTAGGAGCAAAAATCCGGTACTAATTTGTAAATATAAATATAAATATATGTATAATATAAATTGTAAATAATGTTAGCCGCATTATTTAATAAGGCTGTTTTAGTAAAGGTTCAATTTATCATCCGGGAAATATAAAAAAATAAACAAAAATATATTTAGTTTTACTTGTTCACGTTTGTTATGAAAACCTAAATTTGAACTTTTATTATCTAAATAAATTAGCTGTTGCCAAAAATTCGATATAAAGTATCAATAAAGTACGAATGTTTTCAATAAATCAGGAACGCCAATTCAACTTGACACTGTGGGACATTTATTTATGCGATGTTTGAAGAAACTAATAATAGATTATTTCGTTAGATGTAATATTTATAAATTAAAAAAAAAAAAAAAATAACACCGAATTTATTTATAAAATGACGCTAAATGTGACATTTGATTTATTCCAAATATTCGAAAACTTTCTCATTTGGTACTATTCCAATATTCTCCTACGTTAACAATCCATTTATTTCGCATCTATCTTTCTAAAATTACAATTAGGATAACTTGCGATTGCATTAATGGAATGGATTTAATAAGAATTGCTCTCGTTTATTAAATAGAAATAATTCCTGTTCTATCAGGATTGCTTTCATCAACAAATGAACGAAGCGTAATAAAATCAAAACACTTTTCGTATCTGCGGCACTGACTTCAGAATTTAGTGTCGCTGATGTTTGTTAATAATTAAGCTAAATTAAGAAAAAAGAATTTTTTCGACAAATTTATCACCCTCATCAAATTCGTCATTATCTACCGTTTTAGCAATAGAAATAAAAAGACAACACTATATGGTCTAAGTTCTTTAATATATACCTCACCTACACACCTACGATATATACCATTATGCATTTAAAAAGATATTTTTTATATGATCTCTATATGCTTGGGTTTACGCCTTCGTTCACTTGCTAACTTCTTTTAACAGCTTTACCAAAAGTAAAGTTGATAATCACATGTTCACCGCACCGTTCTATAAAAAAAAAAATAAAAAAAAAATACAAATTATTTAACTTTTAAAGATTTGATAACTAGACATCTTAAAGAATTATAAATAAAAATCAAATTACTTACATTTTGAATTCTTCAAATATTATTATAATAAACGTGATATATAGTGTTCATTATCTAAATGCAATATATATAAATACTTTACATATATTTCTTTAACATGAAGTTTAGAATATTTGTTTTCTATTTTTGACACCCTTCTAGAAAATCAATTATATTTTTTTTTTTTAAAAGGATCACAAGTCTTTGTTTGAACTATTTTTTTTTTTTAACTATTATTCTAAATAAGGTATAATTGTCTGTTTTCAAAAGAAATGTTCGAGCGTACTTAAAAAATGTTGTATCACTAAATAAAGTAGGTTTTGACAGATTTCGACAATTTTGACGAACCGTAATTTAACGGATTTTACTTGGGTTGTATTTTAAAGTGAAAATTGAATCGATTACTTAAAATAATTGAAAATTTCAACCATCTTCTTGTCTTTACAAAGGTAATGATGTTACCTACACAATGAATCGAATTAATAGTATAGTAAATTGTATTAGAAATTTTAGTAATACGCGGTGGCAAAGAGAAAAGAATGCTGAAAAGGGTTACAAATTCAGCGATCGAATATTTTCTTTTTTATTTCGCCTCGAGCTGCAGCGATAGATGATTTGTGATTTTTACAGTATATGATTAATTAATTATTATATTTTTTTTTTTTTAAGTCCGATCTTATGCGGTAAGAATTTTATTTTTATTATTTTTATTTATTTATTTATTTTTAGGCAATAATATCTTTAGGGTCGAATCGCAATTATGTAGATTGCCCTTTAGGTTCCTCTTTCGGGTTGGTACGCTTTCAAAAGTTTAAACAGCGGGTAGCTGTTGGAAGTGGATCGTTAAATTATGCATCAGGTAGAGTGTCCAAAAATCTGCTGCTGCGATACATGATTGTTATTATATTTATTTATATATTTCGTTGGCACTTTATACTTTACATTTGTTAATTAGAATTATAATATTAAAAAATTTAGCATTACAATAGATTTTTCTGAAAGACGTATATTATAATTCATTAATTAAATTATTTTCTGGTGATGAAAATTCATCAATTTCTTTAAATCATGTCTATTACTTTTAGCTTGTATATATTTTGGATCAAAATATCTAATAGCTCTAAAAAAAGGAAGCGCGTTATGTCTATCAATATGCTTTTTAAATTTAAACTATGCTTGTTTATATTCTTCACTAAAAATTTTAATCATTGTTAAATACTGTTATAGTTTCTGTTTGATTTTTTTTTTTTAAACAATTGTGCAATGTTAAAAAAAGTTATTTATGTAATACAACAATAATTAGCAAATCATATCGCCAATAGATTCTGCGGATTCTACTGGAGAAAATATCTGCTTTTCTGCTTGAGCAGTCAGATACTGCCACCTCGGAATCCTGGTCACACTAGCCTCAGGCTTCTCCAATTAACTACTTAAAATAACGTATTGTCAAAATCTTTAAATGACAGTTTCGGAATCTTATTTACCGCAGATTCCTCAGTTATAAGTTCACTGCAGTACGGTAATTCTCCAAGAAATGATTTAATAAGCATTATTTATCCATTATCATTATAATTAATTAAACTGCATAATTGGGGGATATTTATTCCCTTTGTTCATATTTCTTTGTTTCTTTGTTTTGTATTGTTTATTAAGGTGTCACTCATACCGTAAATTTAATTTTTCCCCTTGTTTCAGTCGTCCAAATAAATGATGATTTGCATGATAAACCAATCATATATCGTTTTTTAAACATTAAAGATTTGTACCCCAAACGATTATGGGGGAGTTTGCTTCACGTGTGTCGACATTTTTAGCTATAAAAGTTGCATGAAAAATCATTCTCTTCATTTGATCTAAATCTCACAAATATTTCTTAAACTTTAAAAACCTCGCTATCAATATCGTTATTTATAAATAAAAATTTTAATTCATTTGACTTTATGATTAACAAAAAAAGGACGACTACGAACTGAACAGAGAGAAACTTATTCAATATTTTACTAGGAAGTTGGTCGATATGGATTATTCTAAAAACCTGGTTAAGTCATTGAATAATGCAAAGAAATTTAGTCAGTAAGTTATCATATATTTTTTTTTTTCTTTTTCGTTTAAAAAAAAAAAATATTTAAATAATTTATTAAAATAATAAATATTCTTGATCATAATTAGTTGGATTGAAAAACTAAACAATCCAGAAAACAAACACTACGTCAATTTCCACCCCCGTGATTGATCGAATTTCTAATCAATCGTTTGAAATTCCATTAACCTTACCACCGATCCTCGAACAAAATTCACAAATTATAATCAATCGCTCCCATCAATAACAACGCTTTGTATAATTATACTCCTCCCCCTTTAATAATTTCCCTGGCACTTACTTAGCGCTGTTAGTGATAACCCGTTTATGTCACTAAATGACTGCGCCAGTTAATGCCACCAAAGATCATTGGGAAAATCGTGATCATCATTTTCACTAATTTCACTGCCTATCATTATTATATTTACTTTCATAGTTATATTTATTTTCTTTACTATATTTATTATCTCTATCTTATAATTGTATTTTATATAAATATCCTGTATTGTTGCCTTGACAAACGAACAAGTTTCTATCGTACAATTAATAAAGTATAATCTTAACAACATAAAATTATATCTTTGCCAATATCTATTTCCTTAAAATATAAATCATCAATAAAGACGACCTGACCCTTCAACTTAAATAAATTCGTGTTTATTTCTTTCATAGTTTACAACTTAAACTCCTTGTTAGCAAATAAGCTTTGTTATCCTAACGACGTAGTGTTTAGGCTTAACAGCGCATCAGTCGAATAAGTACTTCCAGCCAAATTCGAAATTTCCAACCATATCATCTTTCCGCCATAAACCGAATCCCATCTTATGATGAGATTTTATCAGACATATTTACTAGATTATTCATGATTTTTTTACTTATAATTTTTATATTTTTATTTTATTTATTATTTTTTATTATTTTCATAATATTTGTTATGCTATTTTCTTAAATAATAAATCTAGAATTAAAGGTGTTGGTTGATGGCTTACAAAACCCTATGATTTAAAAATTCTTTTCTATACTTTCAAACCTTTATGTGATAATCAACTACACGCATTGATAAAATTGTAGTTTAAATCTTGGACTGTTAATTTGGTTTCAGTTGGTTGGTTAAGCTTTCTGACTGACCGGTTGACCGACTGATTTTGACCGATTTTAACTGACCTCGTGATTTTGTATTTAAAAAAATAATAATTTTTATTTAATAAATATTTTTAAAAAAAAATTAGTCCGTGATAATGCTTTTACAATAAATAGTGAAAGGTATTTTCCTTTTTTTAAAATAAAATACTTTATTTTTTTTTATAAAAAAATATTTTTAATTTAGATAAACTTTTATCACTTAATATCATAAAGACTATTAACTAATGATAATTACTTTTTTTTGCTCTAATTTATTAAAATAAATGAAAATCATATATAATACAATATTATATATATATATTGTATAAAAAAAAAAATCTAAAGTTACTTATAAACTTAAGAAAATAATTTTTAAAAAATTTTATCATTATCCTTATAAATCTTATTAAAATTTACTTTTAGCAATATTAATCATAATAGGACATTATAAATTTATCGTAAAAATAACTTTACTACTAATAAAAGTAATAAAGTTTTTTAATAAATTATAAATATTGTAATTAAAGTGATTCAATTAGTTAGTAAACATATGAATCTTAAAGAAAATTTTGAAAAATTATTATAATAAATTTTTTGAAACTTAATTTAATTAAATAAAAATAATAAAATATATATTTAAAAATAATTTTTTATATAATTATTATATATTATATTATTTAATATTTTATTAAGAAAATTAATACTTTTTTTTCAAGTTTATAGACAAATTTGTTTGCTAAACAATATAATGTTTAGATGCGAAAGGGATTGATGTTCACTAATCAAAATCAAAAAAAAATTGTACATGCAATAAATAAATCATGTAATTTTTGCTGATGTATCGGCGGGCCGTTTTGTACGGCTTTTTTCTATTTTTTTTTTATCCTCATATCAAATTAATTGAATATAAATAAATAATTATTAATGCGATTTATTTAAGACTGGTAAATGCGCTTTAATATGTGCTTCATAAAATGCAAAATTACGAATAACAATGTACAGTACAAATACATTGATATTTATTAGTTTAGTTAGTGATTGGAATCGAATTATCAAAGAATTACTCGATTCGCTGTAGCCCAACCCATTAAATAAAAACATTAAAATTAAAATAAAATAAGAAAAAACTCACTTACCTAATACTTCCAAAAACGATTTAAACCTAAAGAAGAATCTAAATATTAAAGAAAATGCAAAATCAAGCTAAGATAAAAATATTAGATTGAATCTGAAATATTAAAAAAAACAAAAAAAAAAAAAAGTTAATGAATTCGAAAATGTTTATCTATTTACTAAAGCGATCGAATCCAATAAAAATAAATAAATTCCGGTTTTTTTTGCCTATTCTTCAAGAATTTTATAATTTTCGTTATAAACAAAATTAAAAAAAAAAATGCAAGCTGACAAGTTGGTTAAAGAAATTATTTCAGATATTGAATATTACGAATATAAACATTTTAAACATTTTAAAATATTTTCAAGAGATTGGTACTGGCAGCTTTGGTAAAAATCGTGCAAATTGGAAAAGTTCAAAGCATTAAAAACGTTTGATAACTTCAATGATGCCACAATCAAAAAATTTGTTCGTGCGATAATTGCAAAATATAAATATTTTATTTATTTCGGTCCATTTAGTATTACAAATTATATTAGTAATAATTTTATCTTATTAATAAAAATTTATGTAACAATTATTGAGTGGAAAGGCAAGATTTTGCAATTTATATGAAAAAGCTCCATTGTTAATATCAATAGATTTTTTTTAAAAAAAAAATAATCTCTACTGATACAGAATATCTTACCAAACTGCTGCAGTACAATTTGTTTTTATAAAGAATCATTTGTTTATTCTTCAAGTAAAAATTATTAATTCACTATATTTATAAATGCAGTATGTATTTTTTCTTTTCTTTTTCTTTATGACAATTCATCACATTATATAATTTTACGCCTTTTTTGAACATAATATACTTTCACACTTTCATACTTAATCAAAGACGTCCTTATTTTCATTTCGTTCAATGTACGTGTTCTAGTCCTTGCAATTTTTTTTAAAAAAGACCTCGTTAGTACGCGGATTGACGTTTTATGCCAGAGCATCGACAAAGTACAAAACTTACCTGGTTTGTAAAGTATTTTTTTATTTAAAATAGATAATTTTCTACTGAAAATGAAATAATAACGGAGCCAACAGATTAAGGAAAATAAGAAACACTTTGATCGAGGACTAACTGACGAGAAATATTATTAACTGTCTTTTTTTTTTTTTTAAGAATTATAAAATGATTTATTGTGGAAACATTCCAGTAGGTCATTAAAATATCGCCATGATAAAAGTGACATTTTTGATACATTGACTCAAAATGCTGCAGCGATAGGTTTTGATTTTTAAATGTTTGCGAATCTTTTTAAGGTGTCATCTTGTTTTTTTCTTTTTCCTTGGAGATGGATGGACGTCAGGTATTGTATAAAAAACCGATCGTTTTGATTTTACTTGCATTTTCTACCTCATTACATTGCTTTTATTATCCAAGGGATTATTGACAACCTTCATCGTTTGAAGAACTAGTAGCTAAAGTAGAAATTAACATCAAGCACCTTTTCAAGAGAAGTAAGAATTACTGTATACAAGAGATACTTACTTTGGAATATTTATTTCAACCAATACATCCAGAGATTTACCAAATTTATTTATAGCGTAGACCTCAAGTGGACTTTCTCTTGTATATCGACACACATATCCCGCTAGAAAGTCTAAATTTGTTCTAATCAATACTGCACCTTTTTTAAAAAAATAATACATCTATTAAAAATTTAGGAGAATTGCGAATGAGAAATTCCAAGAAATACTAACCTGAATGTACAAAACTGACCAGATTCATCTTCCTCATCTTTTCTTCTACAAAATCGACCTTACTGGCAAGATGTATGAAAATATGGTTCTTGGCAAGCTCAGCCCAGATTCCTTCATAAGTTTTGTACTGTGCACACCCTCCCACTTCGCTCCTGCTTCTGATGCCGCCCAATCGGTTGATATGAACCCAATTGTTCTTATGTACGCATCCCCTTTCTTTCCAATTAAGGCTAATCCAGCCTTTTCACCTCTAGTTTTTTTTAAAAAAAGTTAAATAATTATATCATCAAAAATTTGTATTTTACTTACCCAATAACGTAAGTAGCTAGTGTATCCGATAAAGCAATATCAATAGTTATCCAAACATTGTAGAGGTTGGAACTGGTTTAACCAGTTAATTAATCAGTTAAAACGGATAACATGTTAACTGGTTAAAGATTTTTTTTAATCGGTTAAAATAGATAAATTTAAATCCAGCCGAAATTCAATTTTCGGCCAGAATTAAGATTTTTATGATTGCAAAATATTGTCTAACTCTTGCCAAATTTACAGTACTGACCAAAGTTAATTTTAACCGGTTAAAGAAATTTTGACCATTTCCAACCTCTAAAACATCGACACGATGCCAGGCTTCTGGCATATCAAGAGTAAGTGGATTGGGTTGCATCTCATAAAAATGTAACCTGTATAATATATATACGTTACTCTATTGCAGGAGTTAAGTAATAAAATAAATCAACAAAACTTCCTTGCTACTTACCAATCAGTCACTTATATGATCATAGACAAAATCCACCTGTGGATTAAAGCTGGCTCCAGGTCGAGGATGTGGATTGTTCAATGCTTTTCTTAATTCTGTGGTAGAGTCTAAATAGACATCCATTAGCTTACAAATTGTAGCAAAATGAGCAAGTATACAAATCAAAGACATATTTTCCTTGGAGAAAATGTTTATATATTCAAGAAATTCATCATCGATCTCTGGTGGATCTTGCCCGCTCTTCTTTTCAGATATATCTTTCATCTCTTCTTCTGTAAATGCGTTCTTAACAAAGGTATCCTCAGGATCAAGGACGAGTGAGTGAACTAGACTAAAAGCCAAAATTTTAATTAATTTAAGAAACAACAGAAGAAACAAACGCATCGCATAATTCTTACTTATGATATCGGCACATCATTCCAAGTTGATAAAGTACATCTTTGACAAACCTTCCAGACTTAAGTCTCCATTTCTTCAAGTTTTGCAAAGTATCAAATCTATGTTTAAATAATGATTAGTTCAATTGAACGGGAATGCGAAAACTATATATATATATTATATTTATTACCTTTGCATGAAAAAAATTTTATCTCTGGTTCTGAACTCATCATCATCGTCGACATCATTAGACTTAACAAGCAATCATACAATATATATCAGAAGTGGCCTATATAAATTAAACTAAAGCAAACAAGAAAACAATTACCGACGGAGTTACCTCACTTGATTCATTGGATTCTAAAGAAATATCCTATAATTTGGAAAGTATTATGCAATAGTTCAAATAAACTTTATGATATAATTTAACAAATTTGACTTATCGAAGAAAATAATTCAGGAGTTTGAACACCATCTTCTTCATAATATTCGGATCGGTTATGTTCTGGTGGAAAGATTTGGTGTCCAGGTGTTTGTAGATAATCCTGCTTGTGTTAAATTGTTTGGAGATGAAAGTTATTTATTTATATTAAGGGACGCTTTCGAAAGTGTAATGACATACATTTACAAACTGAGTTTTCTCACCAACTCTATCTATCACCATCAAGCGTATTTTTGACGGAAATCTATTATGATAGCACATTAAACATTGTATAAGTTGTAGAACACATTTACCAGGACAGGATCATTTTCCAGGAACAAACCAAACTGCGCTGGTTAATTATTGATGTAAATAACGTCTGCAGGTTTAGTTCTTTTTGAACTCGAGCTTGACCTTTAGAAAAACATAAGAAATTGATTTTATTAGTTTAGTAATATGTATGAAGAGCAGAAGGAATATGGGACGCGAATGGTGGGACTAAGATTTCACCCATACTCTATCCGGGATTTACTCGTCAAGAGCTGCCCTTCCATTTTAAAAAAAATTCATATTTACCTTTTCAATCACGTCTTTTCCCAAGTCATTTATCTCTCGCAAAAATCGTTTACTCCAAAGAGCTTTGCATTCCTTCCCAAGTTTTCGAGTACGGAGGGAATATTTTTATTTTTCCTTTGTTTTCACTAAGGGACTTCAAGTAGGATATATTCTTCGGAAAAGTATTAGTCACATAGGTACGAAGAACTGTAAGGTAGAATTAGTTAACACCTTCACGTAACTGAAGACTCATAAAGGAAAACAAAAAAATTACCAGAATGTCCGAGAAATTTATCATTAGTCACATCGAGTTTCTTGACAGGAGCTGTGGACATGATGTTTGTTCTGATATTGAATAAAAGAAAACTTTTTAAAAATTGTTTTAACGAGAATTTAATGAATCGACGGAAAGAAAACAAATCGTTCAAATAAATAAAATGCATGAGTTTGGAGATGTATGGAAATGATCAACAAAAATCGGACCTGCGCCACATTCTTTTTCGAAATTATACTCAAGTTTACTTAGGAAGCCAAATGAGTTTTTGTTGCTTACAGCATTTTTTTTTACAAAATGCGTCACATTAAACCATTAATCGGTGTAACCTTTTTACGTGCCATCAAAATTATAAAGTTTAAAAAGTCGTTCATGAAGGGGATACGGGGTGGCAATGAAATAGTCTTCCGCTCTTTGCGCGATAAAAATAAAAAAACAAGAATGTTCATAAAATACTAGGCCCGGAGCCATAAATAGTTTCTTTTTAACGTTTTAATAAGATATTTCATATTTCATAACTGTTCTTATCTTATCTAACGGTTTAATAAAGTAAGGCTTCATAGAAAATAACTGCAATACAAAAAAAGAAAAAAAAGTAAAAAAATTATTATTATAAATAAATTCCATTAAGCTATCTATAATTAATTTCTAATAAATTTCTAATAAATATTATAAAGTAATTACAAATTCACGATATAATGGTGTGTCAGTTAGTAATTTAAAATTATATGTGGTTGTGGTTATCTAACATTTAACTTCAGTTAAACTATTTGATCGATAAACTTTATAAAAATGATAATCCGTGTTTTTCAGATGCCCAGATCGAAAAACAGATTAAGCGAGTTCTTCTTTCCCAACTAGTTTTTGTGAATTATGATTACAAAGTTACGAAGCATTTATTTACATTAACCAGTAAACTCTCTATATTCATTAAAAATTTGGATGGTACAAGTGACTTCGTAACTTTGTTATCAGGTTGAATCAAGATATATATTTAATTTTTTTTCTTAAAAAGCAGAATAATGAAAGCTATACATCTAATTTTAACAAAAAAGAATGGGTATTTACACGTCATACCAACGCCGGTTCCAATTAAAAAAAAAGCAAATAAAATACGCCTTGAAAAACTCGTCTACCTAATGAAGTGGTGCAGGAACCAATAAATGAAGAGGCATCTATTAATAATAAACACAACGAACTTCATCAATATAACTTCAACACAAAAAAACTAAATTCAATATAAATTTTTTATTTGATACATGTGTCATTGTTAATTATAAAAATATGGAAAGAGAATGAGATATCGGATAATTAAAATTATTCAGATATCAAATTCTAGTGATTCGGATATTAAAAATTTTGAATAGAATTTATTTTAGTTATTCATAATTAAGTTATTCAATAAATGAATAATTTCATTGAATATAGATTCATCATAATATTCCGTTGGATTTGATTTTTTTTACTGCTCACGCCTAAATAATATTTTCGAAATTTCCTCAAAAATGAAATCAAGCGTATGGAAGAAAATGGAATTATCAGGAAGTCGTTAAGCCCCTGGGCTTCTCCTGTAGTTATAGTAGCAAAGAAGACTGGAGATAAATGAATCTGCATTGATTACAGAAAATTAAACTCCATCTCTAAAAGTGATGCATATCCTCTACTGAGAATTGACGATTTATTAGAAAAATTTAGAGAAGCAAATTGGTTTTGTACACTTGATCTTGCTAGTGGCTATTGGCAGGTAGAAATGAGTGAAAAAGACAAGGAAAAAACTGCTTTTATTTCTCAGTTTGGTCTGTACGAATTCAACGTTATGCCCTTTAGACTAAAGAATGCACCAGCAACCTTTCAAAGGTTAATGAATCATATCCTTCAAGAATTCTTGTATGAATTCGTTGCTGTCTATTTAGATGATATCATTATTTACTCAACAACTTATGAGAATCATATCCAACATTTGAGAAAAGTATTTCAAGCGATTAAGCAAGCGAATTTAATGATCAAGCTTAAAAAGTGTCACTTTTATCTACCTAACATAACGTACTTAGGATATGTAGTTAGAAGGAATGGATTACAACCTGACCCTGCAAAAATTGATAAAGTTAAAAGCTTTCCCATTCCAGTTGACTTAACAGATTTAAGGTCTGCATTAGGATTATTTTCATATTATCGACGATTTTTTTCAGGATTTTCAAAAATTGCCAAACCGTTAATTCAATTGTTGAAAAAGGAAGAACCATTCTCTTAGACAGATGCTCACCAAAAGGCTTTTGATATTTTAAAAGAAAAGTTAATAACTGCACCCATTTTACAGTATCTGAACTTTAATAAACCATTTATTTTATACACTAATGCTTCTGAAAATGGTTTAAGAGCTATTCTCTTTCAAAAATTGGAAAATGAACTTGATTGTGTAGTAGCATATATCAGCAAAAATATGAATAAAGCTGAGCAAAACTATGAAATAACTGACCAGGAATGCTTTGCAGTTGTATGGGCTGTGAGATATTTTCACTATTACTTAAGCTTATAACCTTTTACCATTGTCACCGATCATTCAGTTTTTAAATGGTTATAAACATCAAAAATTCCTAAAGAAAGAAGAGCACAATGGATCATAAAACTCCAACAGTATGATTTTGAAATAAAGTATAGGCCTGGAAAATTAAATGCTAATGCTGATGCTCTTTCTCAAATTAATACTGATCAAAAATATGAAGATAATACATATGAAGTTTTCATGGTAACTACTGTTGAAGCTGAAGAATCAGAAGATGAATGGCATATTTCTTCTGAACGTAATTCTACTAAAGATAATGGAGAAATATAGTTCAAAGAACAATTATTTTAGTAATTTTCTAACGTATCTTTAATTACTGCAGTTGGATATAAAAACCCAAAGGACAAAATGGAAGATATATATCGTAAAAACATTAAAATTAAATCAGTTATAGCAAACTAACCTATTACTAAAGGAGGATCCCAATGTACTTTTGTCTGCGATATAGAGAATTATCATATTTATACCTATTGTAAGGCATGTAAAAAGAATTTACCTTACAGTACAATTATTCATGATTGTATTATAGGATATAAAAGAGAAAAAATTCACCCTGATATGAAACCAACTTATCTAGTTAATGATATATAGTGGGAAGAACCAGTTCTAGTTTAACAAGAAAATGCATACTCTCAACTTTATGAAATATTATAATATTATCCCTCCATCCTCTTATTAATCTTTTAACTATTTCAATATTTATTAAAATATATTTATTTGAGTGAAAGCTAAAGTATTTGCAGCATATATAGCTGTAACTATTTAAATATAAAATAATAAATACTTTTTTATAAATTACTTATTTTAAGTGATCATTAAAGTTAAAAATTAATCATTTACTATGCTAAAATTTTCATTTAGAACTTTAAAATATTGAAAATATATTTAATAATAAATTATTATATTTTTTTATAAACTCAATACTATGAATAAATTTCTTTCATATAATAAAAATTATGAAATTAAGTTTATTAAAATAATCTTAGAATTTATAATAGCATAGTAATTCAATTTTATTTCTTATGAATTGATAATATATAAAAACTTATTTTTAATTACTTATTAATTCTATTAATCCCTTATATATAATTTAGAAACTTATAATATTATTAATAATATTTAATTTATTGGTAAAAGACTTGAAACAAAAATATTTAATATATTAATACTTTTTTAAAATATTGATATTTTTATTTATTTTAATTAAACTTATATATTTCATTAAAAATATTTATTTAAATAAAGAATAAAAATTTAAAAGTTTAGTTGAAACTTTTTTTTTAGAATCTATTTATACAATTTTTTATTAAATTTCAATAAGTGATACAAGTTTAGCTTTATATTGAAACTATGATCTTTGATTGTATCTAACTAATTATGTAATTAGAAATAATTAACAAATTTGATAAATTAGATAAATTGAACTAATATAACAAAGTGGCCATCATTAATCTATTAGATATATTAGATAGATTATTTATAATTATTATATATCTTATTTAATAGAGTTATTCTATTTATCTTATTTATTATATTTATCATTTTATTATATTAGTTATATATAAATAACTTGTATTTTCCTTAAATTGAAAAGTAACTTGAGATAGGATTTAGAATAAATCAAGAGTTCAATAAAGGAATCTTATAAATTTATTTGCTATTACTTTTTATTATATTTTTATATAGGTATGATTATAAATAAGTCTTATTTTTAATTCAACGTATCAAATTAAAAATTAATCATTTTAGTTACAAATACTAAGCTAACAACATCATAAATATTATATTTAAAATATTTAATTATATATTTACTAAATTTAATATTATATTCATTAACTTAATATTACTTTTTGATTAATTATTAAATAATCAATAATCTTTATATTTATATTTTCTTTAATATTTCAATTAAATAATTTTAAAATTATATTGTATTAAGAGTTTAATATATATAAAAAAGTCTTAAATACTTATATTTAATAAATAAAATAAATTTAACAAAACTTATTAATAAATAAAAAATAACTTTATTATAATTACAATTTAAATAAATTTTTATTCTTGTATTTTCTATCAAATATTATTAATAATAAAATTTTAGATAAAATTTAAATCATTATATTAGTTTTTTATGCTATATAATATTGATCATTATTGTATATTTGAAAGTTTTTTTTATAATAATTTATTTAATTAAAATTAGAGATTCTATAATTTGCATTTTAATTTTTAAGTTATTGAAAGAAAATTACTATAAAAGTTTTTTCAATAAAATTATTTATAATTCATTAATTAATTATTAATCTAATATAATAAAGGAGAATTAGTATCATATATAAAAAAAAATTTAGTATAATTTATTAGTGTGAACTGGATTTTTGAGTTTTTAAATAACAAAAAAATTTTCTTTTTAGAATACTCATATAATACTAATAAACTAGTCATTATTATATATCTTATTATCTTATACTAATACTAATATTAAAAGATAAAAGATAAAGTAGAGATAAAAGTAGAGAAGAATTCTACTTCAAGAAATAAAGATTATTTAAATATTTTTTTAAAAAAAAAGATTTGAATTTATTGTGATAGTATAATTAGATATATGCTAAAACTAGAGAATAGGAACTATTATTCATTTAAAGTATTAATTTATATTGCTTAAATGTATAACAAAAAAAGTCAATTGTTTTTATAACATATTTATGTTATATTTGATCTTAAATTTTAATTGGTTAATTCTGTAACAGACAAATAAAAATCGCATAATTTTGACTATAATTGAAGTTTCTTTTGCTATACTTCAAACAATTATTTTTTATTATTTTTTTTTAATATTATATATTATCTATTTCTAATTAATAATAAATTCATAAATTTATGATTATTAATTAATAATTTTATTATTTTTTGATTTATAATTTTACAGGTTATATTAGTAGATTCATCACTTTGGTTTGTTATAATAATACAGTAATGTGGTAACTTTTTTTATTATTTTTACTTATTTTTTATTTTTTTGATTATTAATCAAAATCTAATGGCTTTATTTTCAATTTTGGTTAAGACTGATTTTGTTCTTTTAAACAAATGTGAATGCTAAACTCTTCAGTTTTTCATAGTGGTATAGTCAGATATATAACAAAATATTTTTTTTTATTATTGTTTTTATTATTACTAGCAATTCTACCTAATAATTTTTAGAATTTAAAAACAATAAGTTTTAAGTTTAGGATAAATCTAATTGTAACATACTGTTACTTGTCTTATTTGTAACTGAAAATTTTATCCATAAAACTGTCTTTAATACATTAAGTAAAAGTTTTCTAAATTTAATTTTGCATTTAAAAATCTTGTTTATAAAATATTTAATAAAATAATTTATAATTAAGAAAAACAAAAAAGGGAGTTACAAATAAGACATGTAACGGGATGTTACAAATACATTTTTCCTTAAGTTTATTAAAAATTGCGATTATTATTATCAATAATTAATTAAAAATAAAAATAAATAAAACTAAACAAAAAAATTAAATAAAAATTAAAAAAATAATAAATCAAAAAATAACTAAAAATAAAATAAAAAATAAAAATAAAAAACGAAATTAAATAATAATAATAAAAAGATTAGGGGAGGAGAAAAAAAAATAAAAATTTGAAATAATAAAATAAATCTAAAAATTAAAAAACAAAATTAAAAATAATAAAAAAAAAATAAAAATAAAAAGAACAGGGGATAAACTTTATCTAGACAAATAATTATAAATGCAATAATATCATACTTTCGATAAAAAAATATACAAAAAATCCAAAGGACATATGGGTTGATTGCTAGGAAAATCAGGTTCCGGGAATTTTTTAGCAAAATTGAGATTTTTATTGCATTTTAGTTTTTGATGTTATTAGAATAAAATGTATTAAGCTCTTAATTTTAGTCAAAAATTTCTCGGAACCTGATTTTCCTAGAAACCCTCCCATATCATAGCTAAATATTAAGAAAGTAGTATAAATAATCATATCTATCAGTGATGAAATTACTGTTATCAGTTTAAATTTTGAGCTTTTTTACGGTGGAATGTATATTATTGTATAATTTTTGGTGTAAAAATTTTTTGAGTATAGGCGTGAAAAATTTTGAAGAAAAAAGAGAAATTTGATATAGATAAAGAATGAAAAAAATAAATAAATAAACAATCTTAGTTGAACGATTAAATAATGTAACAATTAAATACAATATTATATATGAAATGAATTCGAATTTTGTAATTAAATTGCGAATGCGAATTGTTACACAGAGTCTAATGAAGAAGTAGAACATCCTTTATAGTATTTTATCTTTGGAATTTCTTTTTGCTAAAATTATCAATAACTGAAAATAATTTTTCTTTCTTTAATAATAAATAAGAATGATACCTAAAATATGAATATTCAAACAATTTACATGCAAAGGTGAATCAAAAAGAGTAAACATAAATCTTTATAAAGTAAAGACATTTTGTATTAACGGGATCAAAATATTTATTCCAAGAATCTTAAACGAGTAGTATTAGATATATCTTCGTTTCAAGATTTATCAAATATTATAATCAATATAATCATTCAGGACCAACGTTAAACTCTATACAGCCTAGAATATTACTTTCTGAATTTGCAACACTTAATACCATATCGAACTGTTTAGATAATTTGTCTGGTACTTGAAATTCCACCGTTTGATTATATTTTACACCAGGTTTAATTGGACATCCACTTCCAGTACAAGCAGCAAAAATATTGGGGTGTGCTATGGGAGTTCGACCCGAATCACCAACAAATGCAATCACAAGTTTGGTTTTTTTGGTAACTTTATCCGTGAATGTTCCGCTAACAGTAGCTTTATACTTGTTTTTAGATACGCTTGCAAATGATGCATGGAGTAAGGCTGGTGGGGTCGATAAACCGGTTGGTGGACATGAATAATAGCTAGATCTTTTAAGAAGTTTGTGTGGAATTGCATTGACCATGGAAAGCGTGATCAATAAGAGGAATGCAAATATAAATTTTCGGTTCATGATTATGATTTCTTTGAGAAGTTGAGTTTGTGGTGAATGTTAGTTATCAAGTAAGCTTGGAATCTTAAATTCAGAGTAATTGAAATCATTGCCTTTTTATAAGGAAAAAAAAGTAAAAAAAAAAATCGTATTCCTTTAAAAATTTATAATCTAATTAGGTCTGAGACGATCATTATTATCTGTTAATAGTAATAGATTATTATTTCTTAAATTAAAAATAAATTTTAATTAATTGCTCCGAGATCGACGCCTCGATCTAACCGAAATAACTTTCTTTTGACTTTTATTGAATTTAAAATCTTTTATAGAAATTGACACAATATTGCTTTTAAAAAACAATCCTGAGGTTAGCTTTAATTTTTTTTTTTTTTTTTTTATCGAGTTCGATTACTATTATGAAGACGAAATTTTCGCAAGCCGTAAACTCTAGTTAAAAGAAATTTAAAAAGGATAGAATATTTAACTCAGGCCAAATCTATAATTCGCGAGCGAAATATTTGGTATTCATAATTTATTATATTAATTATTATCATCATAATAAATTTAATGGTTATAATTTAAATAACAAATTCAATGTCTAAGTTTCGAAAAAAAAAAAGCAAATAATAGAAAGTTTGTTCCATTCTAATATTCTTTTCGATCGTTCGATCGTTAAAACTTTGAATCATTTCTTATTATAATGGGAAGAATGGCGTCAAAAGTAGAATTTTATCGAAAGAAAGCTTGTTGAATTTTGTCTTTCGGTATCTCGATGACGTAATCCGATTCTGCGCCACCTTCGCTCCTTGACTGATTTGAACGCTGTTTACTTAAAGATTTAGTAAATTTTTTTGTGATTAAAGCTTTTTTTTCCTTTGCTTATTATTCAAGAATTTTATCATTTATGCATCGACCGACGACAAATTTGTCAGTATTTGCGATAAAAGTTTTATTGGAAATAATATTAACGCTCTACAACTATTAATCCCTGAATTAAAAATCGGTCAAGTTCGTTCAAAAACTCAGTGCAATTAAAATTCCTTCAATATTTTTTAAAGTCTCCTAAGTTCGATAACTTTTATATAATTATTTAATAACAACTCATTCCATTGAAATTATATCAGATTTCTAGAAATTTTTTATAAATTCGAATCAATTTTATTTTGCATAGTGAAATATTAATGTTTTGTCGAGTGAAATTTTAATTAATAAATTATTTTTTTTGATATATTTGAAAAAATCTTAACTAGTCAAACATGTATCAGTTTTAAAATACACAATTACAACAGAAGTCATGTGATTTTTTGAGGTATCCGGAACGTTTCGCCGAATCCGTTTCGTCGAAATCCACTTCGCCGAAGCTAATTCACCGAAAGGATTCTTCGCCGAACGACCACTTCGCCGAATGGACTTTTCACCGAAAGACGTTTTCGCTGAAGTACCATTTCGCCGAAAGGAAACTTCGCCGAAATGCTGTTTTGCCGAAATGACGTTTTTCCGAATCCTTTTTGCCGAACGGACACATCGCCGAATCCGTTTCACCGAAAGGACATTTCGCCGAAAATGACTACTGCGTAACATTTGTTTAACTTGTCATTTTTAGGTTCTACATTATAAAGTAAGTTTTTCTTAAAAATTTTGGAAATAATAAAAAAAATTCAATAAATCTGGCAAGTTGCTAACAACCAACAGCGAATTATTTTCGTTTTCGGATATCTGACATTACTGAATTTTTGTGCTAAATTAAAAAAAAAGTTTGGCAGATAATTTCTCATGAAAAACAACCTTCACCTATTAAAATATACGATAATTAAAAAAAATATTTTTATATAAAAATTGATTAACGAAGCGGAGGAGGCACCATATATAATAGAAGTTTGTGATAAAATTATTACCGATAAAGTCTTGTTTTATCTTGTATTCGAATGAAGGTTCTTTTCTTTGTTTTGCATAATAAACAAATCTTTTCTAACCCAATTCTGGTTCTAAAAGCATATCAATTTGCCTTTAATCATTATAATAAACACTACGTTTTGATTATGCTTGGCGCTTTAATAAAGGTGTATGATCATTGTATATCTCGTATCTGAGACATGTGATGTAGTTCGTGACTTATTAATATGATTATGAAGTAAGCATGAAGAAATTCTTATGAGAACAAATTTCCGGTGTACAACTGGTTTGTTTTGGATGAAAAAGGGTAAATTCTTACTTAATCTTATCATTTGAATTTAGTAAGTAATGCAATAATCAATGATGTACTTTACTATGAAATATTTGCTCAAAGAAATCAATATTAAATAATGATTATTACGCCATTTACGAGCGCGGTCTATATTCGGATAATTCCCCGAATCATTAATCAAAAATCTGTATTAAATGCAGATCTTTAATAAAGATTTGAAAATTTGATAAAAAAAAAAAAACTCATATTTATAATTATTCGTTAAAACAGTTAAAATGAAAATACGAATCAACGATCGATTTTTAATCGATAGCGAACTTTCAGTTTAAAAAAATATTTCTTTGAAATTCCATTAATGAAAGAATAAAAATATTTAAGCTAAGAAATAAGTTAATGTATTACAAAATATTATGGTCCAATTAAGAAATTAACTATTTTCCGAAATCAGATAACCTGCCTGTAAATCTCAAGGACAATCTATCTCACGGTAAATTGTGTATGAATCACCGAAAATAGAGGGTGCATAATATTAGGTTTAGACATATAACACAAGCTAAAGCAACGATTATTATCAACTGACATATTTATTATATGGTAACAAAATTTATTATCTAAAGAACAATTTTTTTTATTATACTAGATAAATTTAACCATGTGATTTATCGGCTTATTTATTAGTAACAATTAAAAAACTTTTATACATGGTAATCTTAAACGCCCCATTACACTATTTTAATAATGAATTTACGTTAAGAGAAATTTTTGACTAAAATTATTAGCTTAATGCATTTTAACATCAAAAAAACTAAAATACAAAAAAATTCTCAATTTTTGTTAAAAAATTCTCGAAATCTGATTTTCCTAGCAATCGATGTCTTTTTTTTTTTTGTGTCGAAATAAAATTGTTTATCGCTCCACAACTAGTTTCAAAAATTTTCAGATTTTAAGTTCAAAATTAGAATGATTAACTACAATTGAAAATTCACTTTTTTAAGATTTTTAGAGTTCAACTTGAATATACAGAATATAAAGGTCTGGTACACAAAAAATAATAGGAAGATCGCAAGATTAAACAATTTTGGATGTCATTTTCTAAATGTTGAATGAGAAGAAAAGTGATTTCTTAATTGTTGAATGAAAAAAAAAAGAATAATTTTATACCGAAATGGTTTAAAGGTCATGGTATCTTGTAATTTTTCCAAGGGTTAGAAACTATATATAAGGTCTCTGAAATTCGACAAAGAAAAAACTTATTTTACTATGAAGAAAAGTTTATTATACATCCTTATACATTTTTCATCGGTAGTTATTGCTGATTGGATCACCGTAGAACATGATTATAGTATGTGCAACCTGATCATACCTTCTGATCTGGCGGCGTTCCATCTTGACGATAATGGCGTTGTTTATTCGGCGTCCCTTTTAATCAGGGATGTACAAATTTTAAAGCATGAGCCACCCTTAACAACTGTAAACGTCACTATGGGGGGATGTACCAATGATTGTAAATTCAGCTTTACGGTGGAAATAAACAGGGATGATCTTTCGGTATCGTCGTATCCCATAGAAAATAATAACTACAAATGTCGTTTAAGCAATTACACGATGAACATTATTCCGACCCCTAAAATTACATATGCGCACGTAGCACCGAACCCAGATCATGTATTTCCAACTGAATTAACTGCCCAGTATTGCAAAGAAGGCAAACACCCAGATGACCCCGCTTGGTCAATTATTCAAACAGAACATGTAGCTGAATGCATCGATTATTTGACTGGTCATGAAGTTGGAACATACGCAGCATCTCTTCAGTTTGGCTCAGGAAGCTCGTTCAATCCTAATGGTTATGGTGTTGCCACATATCACATGATTAATTCGGCAAACAAGCTATTCAATTATTGGGAGAGACACCATCGAGGGTATCATGATGCCCTTGTTGAACTAAGTGTTAAAATGACTCCCGATAATCTAAAAGAATTGATCCCACCGCCGCCACCACCGCCTAAACTAAACTTGCTCAAAGCTCTTATATTGCCTTTAAGCATTTTCGTTGTTTCATTAGCAATTGGTATGGTTGGATCATTTTTACTCGACGCAGCGGCAATATGGTTGGGGGTCGTGGAAACCACCACCGATATCGCTGCCGACATTGGTGCTGCTGATGATCTTATAACAACAACAGCTGAAGAAACATCAGCTGAAGCAACGGCAGTCAGAGAAGCAGCGCAATCTTTTAGAGAAAATCAGCTCGCAGATTGGCTGGCTTGGTGGAAAGATATGACAGGCGAGACCGTAATTTTTGATGACGAAACTCTTTCATCATACTATGCAAATGCAGGAAATCCGACTGCGAATGAAATCATTGAAGCTTTGGATAGGGCCACTATAATCCGAAAGAGGGATACAAATCCGGGTAAACATTTAGGATTGTTTACGGCTAACTTAGTGAATGCATACTTTCTACCGAGTTTGATGGACAATGTTCACCAGTCATTTACCGGCAATAATCAAAAATATTCAGATATTTCATCATATCTATCAGCCGCAAGTGAAAATCTCGAATTTCATTTTCATGATACATTACACAATAATTTTTTTGCTGGAAACAAGTCAATATTAACTAGTTTTACCGTAAATCAAGCAGTGAATAATGGTAAATTACTTGACAATGATGATGACGTATATAATACTATTAAAGATAATACATATAACACTATATCGGCATCAATAATAAGCTCTACATTAAGAAAATTGAATGTTGAAATATGTGACCCAAAACCTTCAT